ACTTTTTTGAAACACGACTTTTTTGAAACACGACTTTTTTGAAACACATACGTTTTCCCAACAGTTTTAAATACTAATTTGCCCTGCTATTAGAAATAAGGGCAACAAGATGCTACACACAATTCTCTGCTACTAAATGATAAAGGTTGCTCACTGACGTGATGCATGTTGAGATATGAGAATTTCTGAAGTACGAACCACAGAAAAATCTGAAGTCAGTTGCTGAAACCAACACAAATACTCTTTATTTGTGGGATGCCATTTTACATCAACACCAGCAAAGGACCTAAAAATCAACTGAATGAACTCATGTTAAGTGGTATAATAGTATTTTCATCAAATTGCAAGTCACAGGAGTTTAGCACATCTCATTTATGTAGTATCCAAATAACTAAGACCTAAAGCATTCACAGTTACAGGTTAACTGCTGTTCCTGCAACAACAGTATTGGTAGGTACTACTTTGCGACAACGCACGTACACATGGACACACACACACAAAGAGAAGGATGGATTTAAAAAAAAACCAAACAAAAAATATCAAGCTGAGGTTTGGTTTCAATTACAGAAAACAAACTATTTAGTTTGTGGATAGATTCTATACACTTTTACAGCAATATGAAAGGACAAAATATAAGGCCTAGAAAGAGGTATTTTAGCAGTCATAATTAAAACCAGGGCACAAGCTAACCTGTCTATATGAATTCCAAGAGTATTAAACAATTTGTCAGACTTGTGATCAAGGGTCAACAGAAATCTGGGAAAAACTTAATACAACTGAAGTCCATTTCTTGCCCTTCAAAAAAAGGTAACTTGGGAACATTAACCAAGTAGCAATAAGCTATAACTGATTTTGATTGTGTGAGCATATTTGTGATGAAATAAAATGCATGTCTTTGTGGTGAAATGGGAGAAAAGCCTCTACAATATTAGGAAAAGGTTACACAAAGATATCTCAAGTATTCATTGCAGCTTAAAGACAACTGTAAACAGGCTTTAACTGAAAACTCAAGTAGATAGAGGATTTTAATATACTCGACACTCTTCGCTTGCTTTCCTTGAAAAAGATAAAAAGTCAAAAAACAACAGTAACACAGAATTATATTAATATTTTAAATACTTAATATCACTTCATTGTAGAAGGAAATTTGATTTGTGGAATGTTTTGGCTACTAATATTAATAAAATCCTTTAAGTTGAAAAAGATCCTTAAGATTGAGTCCAAAGGGCTCCAAAAGTTTGTCGTCTATCAAAGAACGTCAATTGCTACAGTCTCTAGATGCTGTTTTCCTTTCACTAACTGTCTTTCCAATTTACATCTCCTAAATACCAAAAATGAATTGTACATTGATCATCAAGTTTCTGCTAAAAGTACAGTAATGGTACACTAGAAAGATTAGCATACGACCTATGACACTTCCTCAGGAATCACCTCTCAGTGTCTTACCCAAGAAGTCAGCATATTCTGAACATTGCTTTTCAAAAGGGGCAAAAAAACCACCAAACCACAACAAAAAAAAAAAACTATCTACATCAACTATTTCATGGTATAATTAACAAAAAAGAAAATGCCAAACTTGTACTAAATGCAAGTTTAACTGAGTAGGTTAGCTAACTTTCCACAATCATTTAAAAATGAGAGGGAATTTCTCCAAAATAAAGGAGCAGGCAACATTCAGATCCTCTGCTTACCCGCATATATAGCAAAATGAGAAAAATGGATAATACAGGGAAGCTCATCGAGCCATGAGGGTCCATTTTAGTCTATTTGTTCACTATAACTGTCAGCAAAGCTGTTTACTATCTGCAACTGAATCTGTGCTTTACTTTATGAAGATGCATGTTTATAAACCTGCTGAAGGCTACAGATTCACCCTGTTTGCAAGTGGAAGAAAAAAATTTGCAGCATCTATCTGATTCACTTCCAAACACATCCTTCCTTTCCATCACTTCCAATTACTTTTACGCAAATTAAGAAAACAAGTTTGTTTACTTACACAGCATGAGTACTTTCTGAGGTTTCTTTTCCTCTGTTTTCTCTGCTTTCAATTAAATTTTGTATTCTGGTAAACATTAACAAAACTTGGAAAAAAAGGACCTGGTTGAGCTGTACAGATTTCTGTTGACCCTGTTATATGAAAGCTATACCTGTAACAGTAATAGATTAGATGTGTCTTTGGCTCTTGCTTCCATTACTGGAAGCTCAACTAATTGTGACATACAAAATCTTTTATGCAAACTTGTATTTGTTGCAGGATTCATGCCAATTTGTGCTGATCTGTTTTCCAGAGTCAGTAACTAGCTTAATGTTTAGGAGCAATTACACTGTTTCACTTAAAATCTTGGCAATCACAATTTAGCCTAATGTTAAAAGTTATATTGCTTCTAAGTTCATTCTTTTAAGAACTAAACCAGCATCTCCACTGATACTTCCTTATGGTTATTCTATGGTAATAAACACATTTACTACAGAAGTCTTAGTAAAATGTGTGTTTTTGTAAGAGGCTTATTGTAAACATTAAATACCACACTCCACTCAATTAATTTCTTGTGCAAACTGGCATCAAACATGGAATTAAGGTATGCATATTAGTACGTGAGAAAGCACTGACTGTGTATGTTTTACCATTACTAACTTTAAAGAGTGCTATTAAGTGTCACGGAAATACGAACAAAACTGTTTCATGGGAAAGGTAGTATTTTCTTCTTCGCATCATGAAATTCTAGGTTTTGTATATGCATACATATTGTATACTTATGTATATACAAATATACACAGACACAAACGATTTTTGTCTTTGGCAGCTGAGTTTGAAAAACCAACGACAACAACAAACAGATCTGAACACAACTGACCACCTGTAGCACCACAATTACAACCTCCTGGTCCACGGCAGAAAACTAATGTGCTTTTGCTAAACTGGGCTTAATCCTGAAAGGAGTCAAGTTCATGAGTTGTTCCTGACTTGATGGCAAGAATAAAACCTTCAACACAGACGAAAATTTCACATTCAATCTAAAATGCTTCCTTCCTCTTCCCTTGGATTGCATTCTAAGGAAATAACAAAACTGTCAATACCTTGGAAAATATTTCTACAGAAAAGTAACGTTATTCTTTGTTCCAAAACATCCACTGGCCCTTTGTTGTTAAATGCTCCGTGAATCAATATGGAACATTTTAATAAATCAAAGTTTAATAGCACCAGATACTTCAAGGACCTATTTATAAAAATCAACACTCATTACTTAATAAAGAAGGGTAAGGCAAAGACAATGTGACAAAATTACAGAACTTAAACATCATTCCATTCACCCATTTTTCCCCAAAAGGATCACTAGAACCATCCTATGCAGATAAAGAAATGAGTGAAATAGGCAGTGATCCCTACTAAAAAATACTGTCATTTAATGCTGGTGTTTAAAATGCCCATTGCCTGCAATGGACACTCTGCCAGGAAACTAATCCCCAGCATGAAAGAAAACGTAATGTTTTGACTATTCAAGATCATATTTTTTCCAATATCATATTTTTAATTACTTCGAAACATGAAGTTAGAGGTCCTCGGAAAGACTAATGTTACAAACAAAAAAAACCCCCCAAATCTTTATTATCTACATGCTAGGGGTAAGCATACTTCATTACCCAAACCACGAATTTCAGCTAGAACTTTCAATTTCACTAGATCAGAACCTAGACCAAACACTCTTGGTACACCAAAAATTAAAAGGAGTATGCCAAAGGCAATTTACAAAAGTCTAAAACCCATTTTTAAAAGGTACTTTAATTTGTTCATTTGTACCTGTAATGACTACTGCAGTTTTAACATTAAAAAGTCAGTACTTTCTTCTTCAAATGAAAATCATCTGTGGCATGTACAACTATTATAGTGTTTTAATATTTATATGCATATTTATATTGTAAGACACCAATTTTTCATTCCTATAAAGCATTAGGTCAGGTTTGGCTAATTCCGGTGAAGAAAGTCACAGCATGTCTTCTCTCAGAAACTGGCATCTCAAATAGTAACATTGAAATCGACAATAGTTCTTCACATAACTATGTCCAAGCAGTCTGAAATGCTACAATTGAGACCAAAAGAAAAACAAAATAACTAAAGTTTCAACAGACATGTAAGTGTTGACTAAAAATATGCCACAAAATTATTTTACAATACATTTCTGCAGAAATAATCCCTAGGTGAAGCTTTTTTTTATACACATATACAAAATTTAGACAGCAATATACACATCATCACAGTGAAGACGCTGGCAAGTTCACCAATCTGTAGTGTAAATACAAAATGCAAAGCAGCCTTCAAAGAGAACAATGCTAAAGAGCAAGCATAGCTAGCTTGTTAAATAGCAAACATCAAAAGTTCCCTGCCAAAGGGATGCAGTGCAAGAAAAGCAGCATGCACTTTGATACAAATAGCAGTTTATGGCTAATGGTTGACATAACTGTGGTAACAGTGATTCTTGAGTAGCTGTGCATAGTTAAACTCCTATGTCATCTGTTTTCCTTTATACCATTCCACAAACTCATCCAACAACACTGGCCCTGTAGAGAGATCACATAACTGTATTTTACAAAGTTTTGTAAAAGGACACAGAATAATTATTAAGCTCAAAGAAATAAATTATTTTAGAGCACCAACATATGGTAGTACTTACAGGCTCCATCTTCATCATAGTTACTGAGGTCAAGGTTAATCGTTCTGCTGAATTCAAGAACGTTACACCATTGGTCCTTATTGATAACTTTGTATTTTGATTGCTGCTTGAGGCAAGAAACAGAAGTCACTAAAACATATTTTTAACTGTCTCAAACTCAGATTTTCTTAGAGAAAATTTAAACCTTGCAATGCATTATTATTTTAATCAGTATGCCATCTAAAACTAAGGAAACCACCAAGTAGTCCAACTAGTGTTGAATAATTCATGTTTCTGATTAAGACATCTTTTAGTGGTCAAAAATACAGCAATAAAATGCAAGTACAAAAGCAAATTAAAGATTTTCTATACTTTGCCCTGCATTAAATAAGGGATTTGGGTAAAAGGAAGAAAGAACCAGTTATAAGTGCTGCTTTAGTGGTTACTATATTCTAAATCATAACACAGAATTCTTAGCTATTCTCATTCTACCTCTAAGTATCAGAGAAGACAGATCAAAAAAAAAACCTAATTCTGTTTCCAACTCCATACCTCTAGAAACTGATGAAATACTGGAAAAAGGGACCATGTTTTTCCTAAAAGAAGGCCCAACATACACTTGGCAGTATTGATATCTAGGCTGCGCTGGTCCTTTTCCTGCATGAAAAAAAAGGAAAAAAGCTCATGATTCCAGGATTTTTCACTTCCCCCACACCTCACTCATACACAAAATAAATTAATAAATAAATAATATATAGCAGTATACAATAGTGTTTTTTAATAAAACACAACCTGCCAGTAAAACTTCCTTCCTAGTAGCTAACAGTTTGCTATACAGAGATGTTGCTTTCCATAGGTGTTCCCAAAAAAACATCACCACTCATGCAGACGAGGCATACACTCCCATTTCTGACTTCAGACCTCACCAGAAAGCAATGGTCATTAGATCCACACTCATATTTGTACATAGGCCTCTGCACATCCACACATCTCAAAATAGCATTGCTGTATGTATTTTCCACAGTATTATTACAGCTACATGGACTGTCAATAGATAGTCAGTGCTACTTGATAGTTGCTTAAGTATGCAAGAGTAAGCCAAGGAGGATGTTTATTCTGTTATTCTGACTGCATGAAATTCACATGAAATTAATTATCAAATGAGAAGAACATAATACACATTGAGACTCCTCTCAGAACTGTCCCAGTTTTGTTCAACATAGCAGTAGTACATTAAAGGCTTAGGTAATTTGTTTCTGCTAAGAAAAATCAATAGCATCTGTACCCAACAGGTTTGTTACATCTAATCAGTGGCAAAGTTAATATATTTGATAACACAACTTCTGCACATCTCAAAAGTAACATGTGTACATGTAAGATTCGATTTTGTTATTTTAAGTAGTTTATCCATCTTCATTTGTTGTCTTGAAATTAAACAAATTTTGGTGAGAGACAGGATGTAACCCCCTACCCTTTTATTCCTCGATTATAGCACTGATCTACAAATCAGAAGTTAAGGAAATTTAAAAAAAATAAAGTTCCATATTAGCGCTACTGAAGACCCTGATTTCTCCATATGTACACTCATGATTGTAGACTGCAAAGTCTAAATTACCAAAAAAGCAGGAAAATCACAGAATGGGTAACCGGAAGGGATCACAGTGGGTAATCTAGCCCAACCTCCCTGCTCAGCAGGGCCATCCTAAAGCACACTGCATTGCATCCAGAGGGTTCTTGAATATCACCAGTGAAGGAGATTCCCCAACCTCTCTGGGCAACCTGTTCCAGCGCTCAGTTACCCACACAGTAAAGAAGTTCTTCCTCATGTTCAGGTGGAACTTCCTGTGCATCAGTTTCTGCCCATTGCCTCATGTCCTACTGCTTGGCACCACTGAGAACACCCTGGCTCCATCCTCTTGACACTCTCCCTTCAGATACTGATAGACGTTGATGAGGTCCCCTCTCAGTCATCTCTTCTCAAGCCTGAACAGGCCCAGCTCCCTCAGTCTGTCTTTTTACGAGAGATGCTCCAGTCCCTTAACTACCTTTGACTCTCCACTGGACCCGCTCCAGAGGCTTCATGTTTCCCCTATCCTGAGAAGTCCAGAACTGGACACAGCACTCCAGGGCGTGGCCTCACTAGCGCTGAGTAGAGGGCCAGGATCACCTCCCTTGACCTGCTGACAAAGTTCCTAATGCATCCCAGGAACCCACTGGCCTTCTTAGCCACAAGAGCACACTGCCGGCTCATGGACAGCTTGTAGTCCACCAGGACACATCCCATATAGAGACATTCAGGATACTGAGAGTGTCAGACAACAGAACATTAAAAGAGAGAGAGAGCGAGCTACCCAAGACAAAGAAAATTGAACCCTATGCCTCACCTGTACAAATGCCGCTGCATGTATTCTAGAATACACATCTTTATTTAAAAAAAAACAAGCTCAAATCAAAACTGACTTGTCTTCTATCACGTAAGAATGATGCAGTAGAACAAGATTCCAGTTCTCAGACAACTAATGAATGCTTTAGCCACAAGGTCTCATTTCATACAAAACACTCCTCAATTCTTAAACTGTGTAGACAGAATTTAATGCATATTTGTTTTGAAAGAAAAGTGGGGAGGCCAACAACTCTGAAAACCTGAGAAGCTGTTTTACATTCTGGGCACTAAATCCAAGAGGGACTTAGAGAAAAAAATTAAAGTCCAGGATGAATAAAGCTTTTCAATTAGTAACGAAGTTGAAAAACAAACCTGCAAAGGCATTTTTGTATTATGACATAATTCACTTATTTCCAACATCAAATAGTTCTAAAAACTAATTCGCTTTCCAAAGCCCATTTACAGCTCTGTCACAAATACCTTTAAGCAGAAATCATACTGCCGTGAGAATACATTTTATTTTCCATAATATTTATACTCTGAATTCTTCCCACACACTGAAGTATTAATAAAGTCAGGTTCTACTGCCTTTACTTTGGCCATGTTGGTTTTACATGTCTTATATTTTTATGTTTCTACATTCTCCCACTCTAACTACTGTTCAGAACAAATTGTTCAGATAAGTTCTTTATACTCACCTCCAACTGCCTAATAGCACACCTGCTATGACAGATGCTCCAATTTCATTCTTAACATACATTCCAGACACTTATATTCTTTTTATTGAATATAGTTGAAAGAATACGTTAACAAACTCTGTTAAATTTGAGTATTTGTTTTACATTGATGATAACCTTTCTGAGACTTTTTTCCCCAATATTGTAGACAAAAGACCCATTTAAGCCAAGAAATACACACATCTGTGTTCTCAAACTCAGCAATGACAAGGGCAAACATGGAGCAAGGAATGTATTTGTGCTTAATATCAATATAGGGTGGTTTAAATTTTTTCCTCAAACCTATGCTGACTAAATCATGCATGCCACACAAAACCTCGATGATACTTTTTTTAATTCACCAACTAACTTTAAATATCACACCACAACAAACTCTTTCAAAAAACTTTCTCTTAAAACTTCAGAAGCTCAGACGAGTGTTTTTGCCATGGAGCTCCTCCCTGAAAGGATTATCCTTAGGACAGAAACTGAATCCAAAGCCATCAGCTTTTTTTCTATCAATCACTTCAATTATCCTGATAAAAACTGTGTACAGATTTATTTGCTGCATCTAGTTAAATATATCACCTTTGTCAGCATTCTTTTCTATTCTCACTGGATGCCATTCTCCTACAGATTTCCCCCAAGTCCATATTATTAAAAGTTCAATGATCTCATTAACCTAATATTGTTTTGGTAATTCCCCTGTTGATATGCCTTTGACTGGAAGTTCTATAATCTGCAGGGTTTTTTGTCACAAATGAAATCACAGAATCTGTGCCTCAATGTTTAAATTCTTTTTCAAGATCACTATCATCGGTTTGGTACTTCTTGAAAAAAACCCACCCACTATCCTCCTTTTAAGTTTCTACACTTACTTTTGACGGGCCATTGGCTGGCACAGGTTTGCTCTCTATTCCAAATATTTCATCAGTATCTTGTACTTCTTTGGCAATGCCTGTGCATGCTGACATCCAGAAAGCACTGCTATATCAAAAATCTGAGCTGCTTAGGACAGACTTTATCAGAGCTGCTATCAGTTCGATTTCTTCTTAATTTTCCTATGCTCTTTTTTTTGCTGTATATTTTCTTGATACACTTAGTTCTTTTGCACTGAAGTTTGAGTTTCAGTTTTGCCTTTTTATGTAAAGTCTTCTGTACATTCCATCATGGCAGCAAGATGGATGTACAAATTCTATTTCAAAATGTTAATTTAGAAAATTAAAAGTTCTCTTACTGCTTTCTTTAACTAGGAATAGTTTTACATCTATTATGGGTTCCATTACAGGTACAATTTTATCAATACGTATTTTATTATGTTTTCACATCATATCATTTTATCACGTTAGCCATTTTTACCACCTACTGAAATGCCTGATGTGTCTTCCTGTTTCACCAAATTCAAAGTGTAAGAGGAAAAAACAGTAATTATAAAGCCAGGGGGAGTAAGAGGCAAAGCTCCAATATGCAACTGAATCAGGCCTAAATGGCTTCCCTAAAGTCATAAAATAGCTTGAAGCAGAGACATAACAAAACATGTCACTAAACCACTAAACATCACACATCCTATATAGGTTTCTTTTTCAGTTATGGCATCTTGCATATACCATTTTAGAACACAACAGTTCCATTTGTCAGAAGCTATTTTGAGTGTTACCTTGAGAGAAACATACTTAGAAGTGTACAGTCTTTCAACTATTATTTATGAAAGTAAAGGTTTTAATTTCAGATGCACAGTACTTACCCGTGCAAAGTCAAATGCATATCTATAAATAAGTTTAAAATTGGTAGGCTCATTTAATAAAGATCTCAAGTAATCCAGAGAATTTCTCAATTTTTCTGTAGTATCACATCTACAAGACAAACACAAAGTGAATTTAGAGTCTGAATTCTTATATGGATGTCTGATGTCTTAGGAAACAATCTCTAACATATCCCCACCAACCTGTGCAAAACACATCACTCTGTACAGAGGCACATTTATGAGTTTGCATACAATGACTTATGGAACCCAAAGAGTGAAACAAAGCAGCAAAGCCTTACACTGGGACTCTGATAAAAAGTTGACTGGTTTTGTAGAAAATGCACTCTCCAACAGATTAAACTAAGAGCTTGTCCAAGCACAGCAAACAACCAGCAAACCACAGCAGTGAAAAAATTCTTCTATAGTCTTGCTGAAACTATAGAACTTCCTACACAGTTGGTTTTTTTCCAGTCTGTTCTGGAAGATAAATCAAAACACAGTTCTTTCTTTCCTCTAACTCTCTATGAAACACGTGATTATTCAACTAAATTTATTTTAATTATGCCATGAAGATAAGCTCTCAACTGGAGAAAGCAACTCTTACAAAGAACATTGCAGAGTTACAGAATGAGTGTATTATTTAGCATTTTAAGCCACTATAAAACACACCAATATCTAAAAGACAGGTCCAATCCAGTGACGTTGGGGAAGAAACAGCACCGAACTTCATGACATTTCTGTTTCCTTGAGATTCCAGACATTTTAATCCAACTGTATTTAAATGTGTTTCGAGTTGTCTCTAAGTGACTATATCACCATAAATCGGACCAAAAATATATGACTTCTACTCCACAGCAGAGCTCTCTAATGTTTTGACTCATAACACCTACAGCAAAGTGTGTTTTTTTCTAAAAGCCTATGTTTACTATAACAAACTTAAAAGAATTTTCAAAGCACTTACTGTAGTGATGTCATTCCTTTTAACCATTCTTGTAATGTAAAGTAGCCCATGTTTTGTGCATCCAACTTCCATGCTAGCACAAGCATAACTACCTGAGTTAGAAAGAAAAAAACAGAGGCTGAAAAGAGTTAACAAAAAGTACATTTTTTAAATAACCACTTTTTATTAGGCTAAAAATGCTTTACTTGTATAAATGGGAAGTTCAGATTTTTGCTACACTATTTTAGAAGTTAAAAAAACCCTGAAAGTGACAAACCTGCACATAATCCAAAATAAGAGAAGGTAACAGTGCAAATATATAGAGTAAACATCCACCTGAGTTACCATTAGGGACTTCAAGTGAGCTTGTACAGTCATTTAGTGACCAATACAGTGAGGAAGATGAGTTGGTGCAAAAGGTACAGAAAAGGTTTCCCAAAACAACTACAGAATTTCAGTACCAATTTGACAAGTTACATCTGGCATTTGTTAAACTTTCATCTGGATGAACATCAGTTGCAATCCACAAGCTCTGAAATCCAAGTATTCTAAAGCTAATAATGATCCCACAACACAAGCAGATGTTAAGTAAAGCCAGGTAAACTAACATTAACACACATCAAAACAGAAGCTGATACATAAATACTGCAGTTTTGCCCAAAAAGAAACAGTCTTTTTCCATTGCACACAGAAGACCAAAGCAATAAAGATTTTAGATAAAGTGATATCATAAGATTATTATTATCTTACTCATGAAGTTAAGAAGCCACTTTTGACAATACAATAAAATCTTGCAGGGCAACTGACCCTGCAGACTGGAAGAAAAAAAATAATCAAGTAATTTAAATTTGCAACTCAGCCATTAACTACCTAATGTTAGTGCAGCAGCTCTATACAGTTTTTAACGCAAAATCAGAATACCAGTTTATATACTCAAATGTCAGGATAAATCACAACACTTATTATAGTAATAAACACTGAAATCAGCAAATTACATTTAATTTGTCCAGTAAATCTTTCAAAGCCACAATTCTCATTTTAGATGATGCTTCGTGAATTCTACATAAGATGGGACTTGCAAATACATTTAAAGAGCAAAAATTAGGCACTAGGAAAAAGCCTGTAAAAGGCACAACTATTCTTTTTTAGATTTTATTTACTTATATAAATATACACACACATGTATAAAATACACATATGTAATTATGTATATTCCATATTTGTGTTCTGAAATGGTATAATGGGAGTGCCCCTAATGCTCACAATATTTGAAATCCCTTTCTCTCCTAGAAAATCCAAAGAAAATATGACTTGTTTTGCAGTTGCTGTACTAAACCTTGAATGTTAACTCATTGATTCAGAAAAGACAACCATCAGTTTTCTTTTTTTTTTGTCCTTAATCCATTCTCTGGGGGGCAGGGGAGTGGTGGTGGTAAAGTAAAAGGTGGCAGCAAAGACAAATCGAGGTTTTATAGGTTGATAGTTTGGGGTTTAAATAAAGGCAAGTTGTTCCCAAATGTGTTTCCAAACTTCCCTTGTTTGTATTTCTTGAATTTCTTTAAAAACTCTCAAGAATTTTTTAATTCTTGATGGAAAAATAAGAGCTATAAGACTGGATCATGTATAGCAGATTAGGCATCTTTTAAATGGACTTTGAACTTACATTTTCTGGTTCAACTCCAATGTCTTCACAAAATTTCTCCATACCTTCTGGCCCTACAATGTCATCAGTGCCTGCAAACAAAATGCATTTTACTTATCTTTAAAAAGTAAAATAGGGTGACATTTACCAACAAGAGAAATGCAATCACACAGCACAACTTAACTTCCATACAGTTTGTTTGTTCTGACATGCAATAAATATTTCCACACTTACTATCAGACTTGGATACACTTAAACCTTTATCTCACCTTTGGAAACAGGGGAATTGTAAAATACTTTATATTCCTGACAATTATTCTACAATTATTCTGATATAATCTTGGAAGTGTAAATTAATAAGATTTTTAATAATGTACTTAAGACTAGTAAAACATGCACATAATATTACCACACTTAAATAAGTGGACGATGGTTAGTGAAACTAATTTCTTGGCTTGAATCTCTTATTTTATCATAAGATCATATCACATAAAAATATGATGTATAGCTATACAGGATACAAGACACTGTCATTCCCAAAATCTCATTCCTTATTGTCTCACATAGTATCTTCATCTAATGTTATCTAGAAAAAACAGCTCAAACCAAAAAATGCATGCTCCTGTTAATTCATATTGCTACACCATGGCCACACACTATCTGAATAATAGTAACTGCAGCAGGAAGACAAATTACACCTATTTGTTTGCATACTTAAAAGGAAAAAATAATAATAAAAGAAAAAATATAAATGCTACTAAAATGCATTACTAATAAAACTTGCTCTTAAATCAAGATACTTGTCACTTTCATAATACTCCTGAAAAAATTATACAGGCATTAAGAATTGTCCTGTGCAATTTTACTTTCAAATACATTTTATTTGAACGTTTTGTTAGAATTTTTACTCATGTTAAAAGGGCTCATTTGAAAAAAAAATTACAAGCTGAAATGCCTACTTTCATCCAATATAAAGATCACATGTGCGAGAAAAAGAGGCTTTAAAAAGGAAAGATCAATCTGTGTTTTATTATTAGGTGACCTACTATTCTAGAAATAACAAGGTTTAATTATATCTTTTCCCATCTTCTCATGACAGCCTCTCAGTTCTCAGAGTGTACACAACAGTCTTTTTAAAGACTCATTCTGTAATGCAAAAACACACCAAGGGGAGAAAACCAAATGCAGTGTCAACCGTCTGCATACATAAAGGAGAAGATTCATGAAGCAAGAACACAAGAGAGATTATTCCTTGAAAATTAAATTTTTAGAATGTTACTCAATACTGTAAACAGAATCGTACTCTCCACTTTTCTCTGTTTTATCTTGGTGTGTGCATCCAATGGAAACCCCAAAGTTCTTTCACATACAGCCTTCCTTTCATCCTTTCTTTCCATGAAAGTCTTGACAAAAATGAGTCATGCCTGTTGCTAGAGTGAAAAAATAAATCAAGCTGGTCAGAAAGGCAGAGAATCTAACAGGTTAGATTTGGCTTGAATTTGTCTGAATCTCCTCTCACAGATTGCCACAGACAAGTGAGATCTCAAAGTATTTAATTTCATTTATATAATTTTATTAGAAGAAAAAAATGCTTTAATACATCAGATTAAGTCACTCTTCATTATGCTTAAGAAGCAGACAAAACAGAACAAGCTGTGAGCCATGTTATCCAAGACTGCACCAGAAAACTGCAAGATGACGTTATTTTTTTTGTTAAACAACTGTTTCACTTCCTTTAGGTCTTTACAGTCATGAGATCATTTTTCCCCACACTTCAAGTTCTCCCTTTCAGAAAAACACATGTAAAAAAATGAATACAACAACCAACTTCACTATTAATGGATCACCTTTCATAACTACAGATAATAATTAACAATCCTAGAAGTAATGCCAGGAGAAAGTCTCTCACAAGGGCAAAAATAAATAATTCAGCCTACCTTCCCTATACATCGTGAGGGAAAACTATGATAAAACTACTATGGGATACTTGAATTCATTCATTTTTTTGCTTGAAACTCTAAGTAAATTCAGCAGGAACAAAACAAATGTTAATACCTCCCTCACCTTTTGTTTTTTAATTAAAGACACACAACTTCACCTGAAGCATAACTCTGAAGCATAATTCTATTTAGCACTAACATGGCACCTTCTGTATTCTTTTTATAGAATAGAGACAGACAAAATTGCACCTTGAACTCTTCAGCTTCACACTGCACAGAATATAAGAAAAGTTTCTTTGAGACTTTTACAGAAAAGCCTCTATATTCAGTCTTTGGAAAGCTCTGTTAATGCAGTTTTTGCATTCCAATATAAATTAAATTTTTATTAGTAGGAAATTTAAATTTCACACTTACCTGCATATTCATAGAACCATTCTAAGCATCTCTTACTTGAAAAAACTTCTTCCTCTGCTTTTATTCTAGTTGAATCATATTTTCTATACATACTTAGAGAAAAAAGAGAAATATGTAATTAATTTAATCAACTTTTCTTTAAAACAGTCTTTTAGACAATAGCACTGTAAGCAGAAATGTTTTTCCTTTAATGAATCAGTTTACTCAACATTCTATCCTCATATCCAGTCACTTGGATAACAGAATAAGAATCCCTGACCCTAAATACTGTGTGTGCTCAGTCTGTCACAATTCAGCTGATTTATAACATTATCCATGTACATGACCTTCCCCTACAACAAATACAGGATAGTTCAAATTCAACCTCAAACTATTCTGTGTAAGTTCAAGTAAGGCTTGTACCTCACACCATCAGTTACCACAACGAACTGATGGGCTGCAACCTAGCTGTGGGTTTAAGGCCACAGTAATTCCACGTCACAGTCAACACAGTCCTACCTCTAGATGGACACACACTTTGTGCACTTTGAATAATTAACTAAAGAGAACTAAAGAGACTTTTTGCCACCTCAAAAAGTCCTATAAAAGGCATAAAGGCCAACACAGACGTGACTCACACTTATTCTAAAGCCAGTAAGATGGTAACACAAAAGAATGACAAAGAAAAGGTTCCGAATCCTCACTGACAATAACTCAAGGAACCTCATTCATCACAAGGTAAAGAGTCATCTGAAAAGCCAGCCCCCAGAGATTGCCAGCAGAGCTCTTCTCCTTTGACAAGAAGCATAAGGAATTTTAACTACACTAAGGAAATTAATTTAACATCTGAAACACCTGAAGCACAGAAGCCATGGCAGAAGTTGGTAAGTTACTCTACCCTGTTTAGACTTTTCTGAAACAGAGACCATATCATTTGTGCCTGCTAGAGGAAAGAGACTCAGCAGTCCAAGTAGTTGTCCATTGGTGTATATGCATTCTCTGACCCATTTCCACCACTCTGCAGCTGAAAGGCTGAAAGGCCTTGGGCTGAAAGGCTGAAAAGAGCAACAAATAAATGGCTTAGTCTAGAGGAGATAGCCAAGAACAGCTCTGTAAGTGTTCCAAGCATGCAGACCTTCCTCTTATAATATCAAAGCCTGCTGGGGAAGGACACCAAAGTGGCTGATTGGTCCAAGGAGAATTCTGAAACACCTTGATGAAATTAATTTGGACTTGATTTCATCACTGTTTTGTCCTTCGAGAAAGACATGTAAAAGACATCTAGACTTATGAGCTTAGAGTACACTGATCCCACTATCTTTCACCTAGCTCAGCTATTAGCTGTGAGGAACTGTAGCTAGAAGTTAATGGCACACAGATCATCCTAGCAGGAATTCAAAGAACTATTTCATGTTTATTGCCATAGTTCCTTTAATGCAGCTAACCTCAAGAAAAGTAATACTAGTCAGTACAAAATTATAAACTGCTAAGTGGAAAACAAACACAAATGAGGCTCTTAGGAAATTTCAAGATGGAAAGAAAAACTGACACTGCACTGAAACACACTGATCTGCAACCAACTGGAATACTGCATAGAAATGCCAGCAATACAAGTCTCAAACACATATATTAATATATGAACAATTTTAGGGTGGGTTATTTTCATTTTGAAACCACTTTTTTTCTATTTTAATTACCTACTTTGTATAAGCTTTACTGCAGTTGCAAAGGGAAAAGGCTGACAGCACTGTCCAGTAAGTAAAGAACTAATCCAGAAGATGTAAGTCTGAGTTGGAACAATTTTATTTTTTTTAACAGGTCTGATAACATTTTCATTCTTGCAGAATGATGATTATGAAAGACCTATCCAATAAATTTTCGCCTATTCTGAATTCAGAGGAATCAAAAAAGTACCTTAAGACAAAGAAAGGAGGCATTCTGTCACTTTGGCAAAAGTCTGATTATTCATTATCCTCTTTTTTGTCGCAAACAAACGTGACAAACACCAACTAGAATACCAAGCTGGAAATTGTAGCAGGAGCTAGTCAACATCTTATTCTATTCTATTTATTCAAGTCTGTAAGAGCACTGCTGGGAACGAGGACACATAAAGCTAATGTGGTTCCAAAGACAGATATTCTTCACAACACTTAAGGTTTTTTTCTTGCGAAGGGATGATAACTAATTGCCTTGCCCTGCTTGTTCATGTTCACCAACACATTAAGTCAGTATGTGAACAGTGGATTTGAGAAAGAACCCTCAAGAAACAGATTTCTCGACAGAGCTGTAGGTCATCCAGGTATTAAGGAAAAAAAGGATTCCTGCATCTACAAATAGCAGAGCTGAATACTGTAAACTGAAACAAGACACTAATGACAGCAGTACGTGTAATAGGAACAGTGACCGAGAACAGAAAAAACCAGTCCTTTTTACACATTCTCTTCATCTGTACACAGTAAGTTTTCAGACAACTTTACGAGACTGAAAGTCATTTATTGTGTTTAAGGCTAAGGTCATAGTTTAGGAATGCAGGAAACAACAATATTCATTAAGTCCATGTGCCCAAAATCTCACCAAGTAACTCCAATGAAAGCTCTCTAGTCTCAAACTTATGACTGTGCAAGAAGCTCAACATCTGACCAGTAGAGTTGGATTTTGGAGAAACCAGAGCTGATTACAGATCTTCTAGCCTGTGGTTGATAACTCAGAAAGGACATAATCTTGAGCTATCCCAGTCTCTGCCACAAACTAATTAGCCAGACATTCATTAGAAGTGCAGGTGACACTGTATCACACTTGTAATGAAAAAAGACTATGCATGGCCAGAAGTATAAAACCATGCAACAAAAATGGCTGATGAATCTCAGATGCCTTGGATGCCCCAACACAGATTACATATTATACAAGACAAGGATCACTTGAAAAAAAGAGTATGACAAAAATAAGTGACACCAATACCAACGCAGTATTAGTGATCTCTCGTGTATGATGATGACCCTTTTCTCTCCCTGCTTACACCAAACATGAAATGAGCTTCTTGCCCCAGTCTAGCCAGGCCAGCTAGTTCTACTAGCAAGAGACTCCTAATCTCTTAAATGCCTGGTGAAGCAAGAAGAGCACAGAGATACAAACATGTCAGTAGACAAGTATCTGAGATTACAGCACAGCCTAAGAGAACTCAGTTCAATTTCACAGCAAGCCCAATATGGCAGCACAGGGTAAAGGTGCTTCCACAGACTACGTCCATTGAACTGTCCTTAATACAGATAGTATTAACTATCATTAATACAGATTTGATTGTCTCAAGAACCATACATGCAGAAGAGAAAAACACAAACTGCCAGGCACATCAGGCATCCATTTTGTTTCTTACAATATTTCTCATCTCTTTGGAATTTCACATACTGCAAGATTATGTGCCTTGTCTTTGTTCTAAGGACAGCATCTCTTGCTATGCAGACAAATACAAACTGCCAGAGTGCATAGGGTAGATATCTGAATACTTTGGGAGCACCAAACATCTCCTGAATAGATCCAAGTTTCAAACAGCAAGTCCTCAATGGCTTAGAGCTTCCTCAAGATGCCCAGCACCAGTACCTTCAAAGAGATGCACTACCATTATGTCAACCAAGTTCTTCTTGAAAATTTGCTTCCACAAAAGAACACATTGCTCAGAATTGAAAAAAAAAAAAAAAAAAAGGGGGGGCAGGAGAGGGTAGGATGGTTGGGACGGGACAGGGGGAAGTGAAAACCCCAAGGATACCTTCCATAAAGGAAGGGCAAATGAATATTTGGTACTTTTGCTACCAGAATTTGTACCACTGTCAGAGAATGTTGACACTGAAACAGGATTGCTAAAGGACATTTTCTCCATCATCAGAGTTAGAAAGGTGCATGCACAACTTTTTCCCAGAGTACCTGCTATACATGTCACTACTGGACAATAGCAAACTACAAGCCTTTGCATTTAGAATTACCCTTCCATTTCTGAACCATGACATGCTATGCATCAGGAACAGCAAGGAAAAACAAAAAAGCATTACCTTTGGGCAAAGAGTATATATTTACCTCTCAGATGAAACATCCATGCAGCTACAATAACTCAGAAAAATCTTTATTTGAAAAAAATTAGTTTTTATTAGTTTAGCATGACAGTGTGTCAGGAAAGTGACAGCAGACTTCAAAAAGCATTTCTTTATAGTTTAACAAATACCCCTGTAAGGAGTATTTAGTTTTTTCTTTTTTATCTCTTTCTAACAGCCATTTTGCCAACTGAAGAGAGGAAAGAATATGGGACAGGGTATGGAAAAAGCAACATGAGATGACCTGTCTAAATTTTATAAAAGTGGTACCAGTTACTTAACTACATCTAAATAAAATAATTTTCTCAGAGATACTTCCATTTCCACCATGACCTAATAGCTGACTCATAACACCCACGTTTAAACTTATATTTAAAATATTGCTATGAGCTAGGGAATTGTAATATACCGGCAATAAAGATGAGACAAATGTTGCTTATAAGTACAAGTGCTATAGGTCAATATCAACAAAACAAAATTTAAAACTGAGTGTCTAGGCGTCTCATATTTCTTTAAATACACAGTCATCCATATCTTTTGCAGCTTATTTTCTTCGCTTCCTAACTGATTTGCTGGGAAAGCAAAAGCATGAAAATTCTATCCAGCTATTATTGTGGGGTGACTAGGCAAGTCATCGTAAGAGTACATGGTTGCTACAAGGAAAAAGAACAAGGTAAGGGTAATTCTCTTCAACCTACTGCAGTCTTCAAAGCTGGGTTATCTACTCCTGCTCTGAGCATGTTTAAACTACGCTGGAATTTGTTAGACTTCCACCCGCAGCCCCTCCCACTGCAGCACCTCTGGGCTGTGTAGTGCCAGAATACTCAAACTAAGATCAGCGAAAACATGGAGTTT